GTGCAGTACCAAAAGTTTCCACTAGATGAAATTAATTTCACATAGAGAGCCTAAGTCCCTCTCCTTCCGGTCGACAACACCATGGGACCTTATTTCAGAAAAATATTGAATGGTAGTCAATGGCGAGAGACAACAAATATTTTGATCTCGTTTGAATTGTGCCCTGAATTGCACATATGATGTTTGTCAATTTAAAAGATACATTTAAGTAAAAAAAAAGCAAAACCGTTGAGGTATAAGACTGTGAAAATACGTAATTACAAAGACTACAAATCCCAAAGGCGCACATTTTCTCTCAATGAATGAGGTTAACTTTACTGAGGCTAACGTCTGTCATTGTTTATTACGTTATAATCGTAACGTTACGCCGTCATGCCCTGAGTGTTTTGTACCAGACATGAGCAGCGGATCTCGCTCGTTGTTTCGCTTTCCCAGGAGATGTAGTTCATTGAGCGATTTTCACATCAAACTAAAAGTTACTCTTCTCTTTTATGACAAACTGCGACGTTTTTGACTTTCATAATTATCTTTTAAATAGACAAACATCATATGTGTAATTGAGGGCATAGTTCAGACGGAATAAAAAGATAAGTTGTCTCTCGCCATTGACTACCGTACATATTTTTTTCCGAATAAGGTCCCATGAGCCGGAAGCGGAGGGGCGGGACCTTAGGCTCTCTATTCACTTCCAATGCGCTCATTTTTGCATTGTGTGTGACTATGTTTTAGGACTATTTAACCTTTTCATGAAAGTCCATGATTTTTTATTTGTGTTCACATAGCAATTGCCAAAACCTTTACCAAGGTTCATAAACATTCTGATTAGGTAAAACAATAAAAAATAAATAAAATATAAATTAGGGTCATTCCAGTTTGCTTCTAAAAAAAACCCCCAAACAAACAAAAGAATTTTCATTTTAGATCTGATTATAATATGGGTAACCTTCAATGTTTGCCTACACTCTAAAAAATGCTGGGTTGTTTTAACCCAATATTGGGTAAAATATGGACAAACCAGCCATTGGGTAAAAAATGTCATTTAAAAATTTAACCCAATGGCTGGGTTTGTCCATATTTTACCCAAAATTGGGTTAAAATAACCCATCATTTTTTAGAGTGTATATTCAACCATTTTTTTAGTATTTTAAAGTCAATATGAAAAAAATATATTTAGTTTATTTAAATACAGAATTCTATAGTTGTTGTTAAAAAAATCATTCATGCTAGTTTCATTATTTAGTGATGAAACACCTCTCTGTGTTGCATTTGACAATAAACTAATCAGCACATACACACACACACACACTGATTGTAATAATCCATCAGATCTCATCCTGGCCTCCAGGAAGTCTTAGTGCATCACACTTCAGTCTGTAAGCCAGTGACGGATTACATTCCCCACAGCCAATGGCTTCCTCCAGCTTCATGATTTGGCACAGGGCAGATTCGCCACTTACCACGTCCTAATTAAGCACCCCGGGTGCCTTTGCTCAAGTGACTACAAACACCTCCAAAAAGTACAGATTCACATATAAGATGCGGTGTAAAATCGAGTGAGCTTCCTGAATAAACAGGCATCATTGGTGTCGAGAGTTATATAATCGAGAGTCATTTTGTATTTTTGGTCTATTTTTGGTTTAGGTAACTTAGTATTGCTTTGTTTATAAGTTTATTTTGTATATTATTTTGGCCTTGGGGCACCCTGAAGTCATTTTCCTTTAACTTATCATTTCCATTTCCACTACAAAAACAAAAATAAATTATTTTTGTTGAACTTAGCTTTTGTCTTTTTTTTGGTGATCTGTCGGCCGGTTTCCTTTTTAACAGCGTTTTAAAACTCCACGTCCAACCGTTCCGTATAATACGGGACATAACAATGCAATTCCAGAATGCATTGCGTTTCAGTTGGAGTTTATTTGAAATAAAAAGTACCAATTACAAATTTGTCAAGGATAACACTATAAAGTTGCATTAACTTATTTCCACTGTGGTCCTTGATTTTAGAGAGTCATTCTCATGCAACAAACAAATAAACAAACAAAAAACACACATTTTATTGAATGTAAACACATATTTGATTATACATATACTTTTATTAATCGCCACTGTTCAAAAGTATGGTGCCAGTAAGATTTTATTTTTTTAATTAATAGCCTATTTTTATTCAGCGAGGATGCATTGATTAAAGGGGTGGTTTACTGCTTTTTTTCTTTGCATGATTGTGTTTATGGGGTGCAATATAACATTAGTGGCTATTAGAGTAGTATTAGTGGTTTTTCTGTTTTAAAAAGTCTTATTTTTCATAAATTTCACCTTTATGGGTTTTGCTTTCACCGTATCGCCTGAAATAAGGTCTGTGGTTAACAAAGCCTATAAATATTTTCAAGTTTTGATCTATGACATAAAACACACCAGTTATAACCTGCTTGTGTTTTTTTTTAAACTTTATATAGGCTTCAAAATGTATACAGTTTGGATTAACTAGTAAAGATTATCTTGATAGAGGAAACGTGTAAGGGTCACGACTCTTTATTGAACACAGATCTTAATTTTTGCGATTTTCCAAAAGTCTATTGGGAAAATACATAGCTTTTCGATAACTTCCGAGTTGTCCTACAAAGTGACGTCATCACTTCGGCACTCGATTGGAGCAAAACGGTCAAATCTAGGATTTGTTCTCCTTTTCTCACATTTTGATCTTAATCTTATAAGATGTAAAAATCTTTGGTGTGTACCCAGATGAGTAGAGCTGTACCTCGTCTCTGAGCTGCTGAGCGTGTGTGGTGAGCGGGTACGGCGGGCACAGGCGTCTCATGCCGAGAGCGACGCTGCGGTGCATGGCGAACGCCTGCTGGAAGTCTGTCTGAAGCAGGAGCTCCACCAGCAGATGAAGGTCCTCCTGACTCTCAGCATCAGTCAGACACAGATGAAGACAGCGCAGAGAGTCCAGCAGATCCTCCAGCTCTGACAACACACAGCCATTGATAATCATTCAACAACAACAAAAACATGCCTTTTAACTAATGCATTTCAATGACTTTTCCATTCACTTTTAAATGACAAGTTTTTAAAGATCTCTAATACAACAAACTTTCTGAGCTTTTCAAAGCACTGCCTGCATGAAAACTTTGTTTTCCTTAGAGTCCCCCATCATGAAAATCCAGCGTTTACAGTGATGTGAATAAGTTTGGACACCCATGCTAAAGTTGCCTAAAAAGAGGAATAAAAAATCATCTTTTGGATATTGATCTTAATGCCTTAATTAAAAAAATTAGGAAAAAAATCAAACCTTTTAAGGACACCAATTTTCTTTGTGAATGAATAATGTATCATAAATAAATAAATGTTCTTCCTTAAAATACAGGGTGCATAAGTCAGGACACCCCTATGTTAAATTCCCATAGAGTCAGGCAGATTTTTATTTTTAAAAGCCACTTATTTCATGGATCCAGGATAATATGCATCCTGATAAAGTTCCCTTGGCCTTTGGGATTAAAATATCCCCACATCATCACACACCTTCCACCACACCTAGAGATTGGCATGGTTTTACTTCAGTTAGCCTAAAAGCTGGTTTGATTTGCATTGAAAGATGATCTTATGGAAAGTACCCCATGCCAATCTCTAGGTGTGGTGGAAGGTGTGTGATGATGTGGGGATATTTTAATTCCAAAGGCCAAGGGAACTTTATCAGGATGCATACACTCTAAAAAATGCTGGGTTGTTTTAACCCAACTTTGGGTCAAATATGGACTAACCCAGCCGTTGGGTTAAATTTTTACATTACATTTTTAACCCAACATTTCGGGTTTGTCCATATTTGACCCAAAATTGGGTTAAAACAACCCAGCATTTTTTAGAGTGTATTATCCTGGATCCATGAAATAACTGGCTTTTAAAAATAAAAATCTGCCTGACTCTATGGGAATTTAACATAGGGGTGCCCTGACTTATGCACCCTGTATTTTAAGGAAAAACATTTATTTATTTATGAGACATTATTCATTCACAAAGAAAATGTGTGTCCTTAAAGGTTGGAGTTTTCCTCATTTTTCTAATTAAGTCATTAAGATCAATATCTAAAAGATGATTTTTTTTATTCCTCTTTTTAGGCAACTTTAGCATGGGTGTCCAAACTTATGTGTTTTTAATATGCTTAGGACAAACCATGTGTAAATTCATGAGTCGACAGCATTGCTGAGTATTTTCTCTTTACAACTGCAGTGAACCAAAGACAAAAAAAAAAACACGGTTTGAAATCGCTGGTGTTTCTGACGCCACAAACAACCTTGTAACAAATCAGATCAAAGCATGGGCGGGCTTTAGCATATCATTAACCCTTTGATCCACAACATGGGTCTAAATAGACCTGACGGAGTTTTCATTTTCTATACCTTTGCAAGAAATTAATTTCATCATTCAGTATTCCAGGTATTCCTCAATTTACTTGATTTAGATCACAATAATTTTCCTTTCTTACTTTTCGAATACAAATCATTGTTGTTTCACTACCATTCTAATGCGCAACATGGGTCTAAAAAGACCCGTATTTATGTTTCTTTGCCGAATATTTGAAAGAAATGTATTTTATCATTTATTAATCCAGGTATTCATTAAATTCCATAAATCATTATGTTTATTTTTCCTTTCTTACTTTATAAACAAACATGGTTTTTGTATTTCTACATCAATTTTACACACATGGGTATATTTTTTGATATTTATAAATAGTATAAATATATTTACTGCAGAAAACTATTCATCTGCCACACATTTCACAATTCAACACGGCTGCTTTTTGTATATTTCATGCATGTAAGTTTTATTTAATACATTTTTTGTCACAGAAAATATTTGATATTTTATAAAAGACATCAAGATATAGCCTAATATTTGAACGTTTAGGCCAAGGTTACCTTGACCTTGAAATCCATTAATAGCTAGCTTGCGGTCGATTCGTGATTCGGTGGCTCTGAATTGTCAAAACACTATTCAAACGCCATTCAAGCTGCTTGCTATCAATGCGAAAAACGCAGAAAATTGAACCGATTCGATTTCTTTTATGAGGGACGAAAGTTTCGGAGGTAGTGTGCAAGCGGGATTGACATAAACGTGAGGTTGTATTTATTTTTTAACCTGCAAAAATTTCGGACGCAAATTTGCATCTGCCATTGCACACTTTCAGTCCGAAATTTGCGCCCAAAATTTCCACCTGTTAAAAAATAAATATGACCTCATGTCAATCGAATTTTGGACTTGGTGTACAAGGGCCTTTAAGGCCAAAAATTATGCGTTTTTCGTATTCGTGATTCGGTGGCTCTGAATTGTCAGACCATTCAAACTGTTTGCTACGGAAGCGAAAAACGCAGAAAATCAAACCCGATTAGATTTTTTTCATGACGGACGAAAATTTCGCACGTTAAAAAATAAATACGACCTCACGTTATTTCAGTCACGCTTGCACACTGCCTCCGAAACTTATGTCCGTCACAAAAAAAATCGAATCAGGTTCGATTTTTCTGCGTTTTTTCGCATCTGTTTCGCAAACATTTGAATGGTGTTCACATCACAAATATGGAAAAACGCATGCGAAAATCAGAGTCAGTGTCCAATGACCTTTCCACTGCATTTCCCTGCACTGCATGTCTCTTGTTTTTTGGATTTGTTGCCCGTTCAGTGGATCACTCTTTTGCTTGTGTTCCCTGCCTTGTGTTTGTTTGTTTGTTTGGACTGCCTGTGTTTGACCCTGCCTGTACTTTGGATTTTGTCTTTGGATTACCCTTTTAATAAATACGGCATTTGGATACACAATCTCAGAGCAGTTTGTGATTGATCCTTATAGTTAAATCAAAACGAGGGAACAAATTAACACAACATGGTCACGATTTAACTAAAACACGGGAAAGAAATTATATTGTGCACACAATTCACCTAAAACGTGCTTACTTATTAGTAATTCGTGGGAATGAATTGTTAATTCATGGCCACAATATATATTTTTGACGACAACAAATAAATTCAAAAGGGAAAACAAGATTAATTTCCTAAACCCCATTTTTTCTTACATTTCTCTTGATGTCCAGAAAACAAGACAAAAGAAAATGTAATACCAAAAATTACACACTTCACCTTCAAGGCTTTTTACTGTACCATGCTATTATTTCGCCTAAAAATCATTGCATACATTTCACTTTCAAATCCACATTGTGAAATGAAATTTTGACATTTGTCACCAGTCAACATAATCTTGTAAGCCATCAGTCATTTAGCAGAAACGTTTATCCCAAAGGAATGCGCAGTGCACTTCTTATAGGGACAATCCTGAGAAACCTGAGGTTAAGAGTACAGAGGCGAGGCGAGGCATCTCTGGAGGACAGTCACATGTGATACAGATCCTACTGAACTACACGAGCGTTCAGAAGATTTTAATGTTGGAAAGAAGTCTTCCTGATCACCAAGGCTGCATTTAGTTGATCCAAAATACAGTAAAATTTTTTCAATATTATTATGACGTTTTCTATGTGAATATATTGTAAAATGTAATTTATTCCTGTGATCAAAGCTGAATTTTCAGCATCATTACTTCAGTCTTCAGTGTATGGAAGCTTGTTTCCGCCACTGAATAATAAAAATAAATAAAAAATAATTGCGACTTTTTATCACAATTGTGAGATATGAAGTCAGAATTGCGAGATATGAAGTCGCAATTGTGAGATATAAAGTCACAATTCTGAGAAATAAAGTCACAATTGCGAGATATAGTCACAATTCTGAGAAATGAAGTAGCAATTCTGAGATATAAAGTCACAATTCTGAGAAATAAAGTCGCAATTCTGAAATATAAAGTCACAATTCTGAGAAATAAAGTCGCAATTGCGAAATATAAAGTCACAATTCTGAGATATAAAGTCAAAATTGCGAGATATAAAGTCACAATTCTGAGAAATAAAGTCGCAATTCTGAGATATAAAGTCACAATTGCGAGATATAAAGTCACAATTCTGAGAAATAAAGTCGCAATTCTGAGATATAAAGTCACAAATCTGAGATATAAAGTCACAATTCTGAGAAATAAAGTCGCAATTCTGAGATATAAAGTCACAAATCTGAGATATAAAGTCAAAATTGCGAGATATAAAGTCACAATTCTGAGATATAAAGTCACAAATCTGAGATATAAAGTCAAAATTGCGAGATATAAAGTCAAAATTGCGAGATATAAAGTCACAATTCTGAGATATAAAGTCACAATTCTGAGATATAAAGTCGCAATTCTGAAATATAAAGTCGCAATTGGGAGATATAAATTCACAATTCTGAGATATAAAGTCACAATTCTGAGAAATAAAGTCACAATTGCGAAATATAAAGTCACAATTCTGAGATATAAAGTCACAAATCTGAGATATAAAGTCAAAATTGCGAGATATAAAGTCACAATTCTGAGAAATAAAGTCGCAATTCTGAGAAATAATGTCGCAATTCTGAAATATAAAGTCACAATTCTGAGAAATAAAGTCGCAATTGCGAAATATAAAGTCACAATTCTGAGATATAAAGTCAAAATTGCGAGATATAAAGTCACAATTCTGAGAAATAAAGTCGCAATTCTGAGATATAAAGTCACAATTGCGAGATATAAAGTCACAATTCTGAGAAATAAAGTCGCAATTCTGAGATATAAAGTCACAAATCTGAGATATAAAGTCACAATTCTGAGAAATAAAGTCGCAATTCTGAGATATAAAGTCACAAATCTGAGATATAAAGTCACAATTCTGAGATATAAAGTCACAAATCTGAGATATAAAGTCAAAATTGCGAGATATAAAGTCACAATTCTGAGATATAAAGTCACAATTCTGAGATATAAAGTCGCAATTCTGAAATATAAAGTCGCAATTGGGAGATATAAATTCACAATTCTGAGATATAAAGTCAAAATTGCGAGATATAAAGTCGCAATTCTGAGAAATAAAGTCGCAATTTTGAGAAAAAAAGAGAATTAAGACTATTTTTCTCACTTTATAACACATAATTGCAAGTTTATATCTCGAAATTGACATCTTTTCTCAGAATTGTGAGATATAAACTCGCAATTGCGAGTTATCAGGCCAATTCTAAGGGGAAAAAAGACTGATCCCCCCCACACAGAATAGTTTATCTCGCAATTCTGACTTTATAACACGCAATGCGACTTTATATCAATCAATTCACCCTAACACCCAAAAATAACTTCAAAGTGAACTATCCTGTGAACCCTATGTCTCTCACCTGTTGCCGTTTCCTCTTCTGTGCTTGACTTGGCAACGTCCATCACATCAAAAAAGGGATGATTGTTGCCCTCAATGCGGCTCTGTGTCAATTCCTGACCCGAGGACGAGTTCAGATCATCAGTTTCCCGTTCAAAAGCCTCTTCCTCCTCCTTCATCATCTCTGGGGCGTCTCGGGATTCTGCCGTCTGGTCAGTGCAGCATTGAGTGATGAGTTTGTCAGGACCGTCCACGTCTCTGTCCTCCGCCATGTCCCCGTTCATGTGTAACGTTAACATGGCTGTTTTATAGTGAAGGTTCAGAGAGTTCAGAGCATAAGGCATTGATGCATATTCATACCCTCAAACAATATATATAAACACAGTGGTGGCCAAAAGTCATGTCCAAAGGCAAATTTGTTTTTAATATATATATATATATATTTTTTTTTAAGTATGAGGGAAGAACAAAACACTAAACTTGATTATCTGACAAAATTATTTGGCAAAAAAAAAAAAAAAGCATAGAAAACAAAAAGCTCACAGCAAAAAGCACAAGTTGACTACAAAATAATATTGGTATAAAATTTGAAAAATTTAAATGTTCAAGATAAAAAAATTATAAAAAAATAAAAAATGTCATTGATTCTCTCTTGTTTTTGCATGTGTTCATAAATTCGTTATATGACAGCCTGGCCAAAATGATGTCGCCATAATTTATGTTTCATTGTGTTATCAGTGCACAACTTCGCAATATGCTTACAAAATAAGCATTTTAATCATTTTAATATATTTGAAGATCCCAATTTTCCTAGGCTGGCTCACTTTTTCGTATATACATACGAGATAAAACTACACGCTTATTATTAAAACTAACTTGTTTTGGATTTGGACGGTTTTGTGATTTCATAAACTCTTACCTCAAAAGATCAAGGAGAGCTCGATTTGTGAAGATATGAGCCCTTTAAAGGTGAAGTGTGTAATTTTGGCGCCACTAAACTGCACAATACTTTCAAAACTTTGGGTGAAATCTACTTCCTCTGAAGGAACCAATCACGTTTCAGCAGTCTCACATGCAGACTTTCAGCTGTGTTTAAAGTAACAGGTGGCAGTGGAAAACGACCATCTGTTCATCTGAGATTACTTACTGACGATTTCAGAATCACACACACACACACACGTGTTTACTTAGATATCTAAATGGGGACATTCTATAGACATAATATACAAACATTTTCTCTCTACTTACACTAACCCGACCCCTAAACCTGCCCATCACACACACACACTAACCATCACACAACACTTTCTGCATCAAAAATATCCCGATAATCTGATTTCTAAGTGGTTTTCCTCATGGGGACCAAAACATCTCCACACAAGGACAAAGATTTTAGTATTTTGGGGGACATTTTGTCCCAATAACTTGCCACACACACCTACACAGTTCCTTATTCCACCTTACATATTAAACATGATTCAGATGGACATCTGTTTTGTTAAAACACAACGTCAATCTAGATTAATAACGTCAGATTATTAACATCTAATTACAGGACCGCTGATCTAAAACCAACAAACCGCACCTATAAATCTCACGCTGACCAAACATCCCTTACAAACATTAACTAACACAATCTCAGTTACTAAATCATAATAAATCAACTAAATAGCCAAAGTAAAGAAATCAATTTTGGCAGAAACTGCGATACATTTCTGCAAGGGATTGAGTGAAATATTTAATTCGATCTTTTCACTTAATTTCATGCGGTTATTATAGTTATTCTAGCATAAATCCAGCTGTAAGTGCCACTAATGTGTCCGACTAGATAAACGTATAACAGCAAATGTTCTTGCATGTCTTTCCTCTTGCACTTTTCTTGTACGTTTGAACCTTTGACCTTTCAGTCACTGAATCGTAAAGTACAGCAGCCCAGCATGAACCGAACCAAACGCAACGCACTCATAAAAGTAAATGACGATTTATAAATGTAAACAAAGCTCCTCATCTTACTCACTGTGTGCATGGAGTCCCAGGTCTCATCTGCTGTTAAAGGTCAATGGAGTGATAAATCGAGTGGTGTTTTCACTGAGGTCCAGTTGAAGTGTGTCCACAGCTCAGGTGTCTGAGGATGAACTTGATCAGCTGTGACTTCATGAGTTCAGTAATCTCCTGTAAACCCGTCAGCGCCACGAGACTGAGGTGTTAATGCTGCTTCATCATCATCATCATCATCACGTCTGCAATTACACTCTGATTCTTTTTATTTCATATGGTGTATGGACTACAAATTTACATTAAATCTCAAATTATTTGTAACAATAACTTTGTAGTAATAAAAAAAGTATATATATATTAGGCCTGTCAAACAATTAATTGCGATTAATCGCATCCAAAATAAAAGTTTATATTTATAACATATGTGGGCACACTGTGTATAATTATTATATATATTTATTAGGGCTGTGCAAAAATTAATTGCGATTAATCGCATCCAAAATAAAAGTCTGTGTTTACATAGTATATTTGTGTGTGCTGTATATAATTATTTTGTATATATAAATACACACACAGGTATGTATATATTTAAAGAAAATGTGTTATTCATATATAAAATATTTATATTTATATAATATAGATTATGTATTTATATATATATACACAGAATTTAAGCGCAAATAATTCATAAATCTATACATGCTTGCATAGGTATTTATACATACAAAATAATTATACACAGCACACACACATATATTATGTAAACACAGACTTTTATTTTGGATGCGATTAATCGCAATTAATTTTTGCACAGCCCTAATATATATATATATATATATAAATGCACCCACATGCTTGTATATATTTAAGAAATATTTTCATATACTGTATATAGATTTATATATTTACATTATATTATATATATATATATAACTATAATATATATATAACTATATTTTTTTTCTTAAATATACATGCATGTGTGTATATATATATATATATATATATATATACAAAATAATTATGCGCTGTGCACAGTGCAATAATTATGCACAGTGATTTATATATATATATATATATATATATATATATATATATAATCATTTTATTTTCACATTTTTATGAAAATTGACTGCATGCATTCATCCAGTCATAAGCCTTATTGGTGATTTAAAAATGTAAATATATACATAATATATTATTATTATTTAAATTTTTAAATCACTAAAAAGCATATAATTGGATGGATAGGGAAAAAATGTAAAAATAAAATGATATATATATATATATATATAACTATATATGCTAACTTTTTTTTAAATAAAAGTTTTAAGTAAAAGTAGTCCAAAAAAGCATACGATTTAATTAAATAGGAATAAGAAGTAGTACCTTAATTTAGTTTTAGAAAACGAAACAAAATAAATTACATAAAAAAGCATACATTTCAATAATAATTAAATTGCTTCATTTTATAATTTTTTTTTCCTGCAAATTGACTATATCCATCCAATCATGTGCTTTTTTGGTCATTTACAATTAATAATATAATATAATATAATATAATATAATGAAGACATCCACACGCACTCTGTCTCTTTCTCTCTTTCTCTCTCTCTCTCACACACACACACACACGCACTCAAACACACATACATAGCTCATTAGAAATGATACATATATATATAAAACACTGCAAAATTAGTGTATGAATGCACTGGTGAATCAGTAGACCATAATCACACACATTAAGGAATTATGTTTTTATTCATTTTATTACAAGAAAATTCCACAATGCTATTTTTATATAATGATCAAGGATTTTATTATTGTAGTCTCTCTCATTAGGTTCTTATCATTACAGAAAATGTTATTATACAGATTTGTTCAATGTCTCCTCATTGCTTGGTCATATTCCGCAGGAGTGCTGGTCACATTTATCTGTACAATTCAATTGTTCTTTTTTTTACTGTACATTTTTGTGTAGTTGATTAAAAAGGCAGTCAGCACTTAAATAAGCTGTTGTTGTTGTTGTTTTTTTCTCCTCTTTTTAAAGTATATTCAAATAAAATGTTCGCCTGTGACTCCACCCCCTGGGGGAGGGGGGCGGGGCTACACCAGGTCATGTGATTATAAGGAAGCTTCAGGGATTGGGTGACCAGGCCCGTGTTCCCCCGGGCACGACCGTCGTGCACCCACGCGTTTGGCACTGCGCACACAAACAAGACTCACGAGATAAACGACAAGCAAAGCTCTTTGTGATGTCATAATGATGCCTACTAATGGGAGGAAAAGTAAAAGTGTCACGTCAATGACACGTAAGACAAAAAGTGCCACCCTCCAGAGTCCGGATTTCAAGTTGTCGCGTTCTTCCCCATGTCCGAAAAAAAACCAAAGCAGTCATTTTTCATTGTTAAAACGGGGAAATAATATTCTCTCTTTTCTTTTTTGTTTTTATCTCCGGGCAGGCACCTACAGTTTTCTATTAAAATGCTACAGCTATAAGATCTAGCATTGAACACACAAAGCAACCGCAATGAAAAGAATAAAGTTGCCTTAATATAATAATAATAATAATAATGACAAGAAAAATGCAATAATAATAATAATAATAATACAGAATAAATCTCTTTTTATAATTAGATTTTATAATTTAAAAGTTATATTTTTTCTTTCTTTGAAATAATAGATTTTTTTTTTCTCATATGTATCTAGTTTTGTGATCAAGATGTTGACTATACTTCAGCGTTATCCAAATCAATAAAAACTAGCTGTGCCGTTGCATATTACAGTCAATGATATGTGAACATGCACCGTGATCCTTCCGCCCGCCGCTGTCATCATAGACGGCCGATGACCATCACGTCCACCACCTCGCCCTTGTGCAGCTCCACGTATTGCTCGGTTTTGGGAGGTAGCATCAGGAGTCCGTTAGCGCTGCGCATGCTCATGAGTCGGCTGCTAACCTGGTTCCCTGGACAAAGACAGAGAGAGAGAAACTTCTGCCACTTGAACTCTAGGGGTCCTATTTTAACCATCACGGTCTCATGGTCTAAAGCACAGGGCGCAAGTGCCCTTATAGGGTGTGTCCGAATCCACTTTTGCTAGTTTAACAACAGGAAAAATGGTTGGCGCATGGTCTAAAAGTGTTGTCCCTATTCTCTCAATGAGTAATGGGTGTGTTTGGGGCGTAACGTGAAATAAACCAATCAGAGTCTCATCTCCCATTCCCTTTAACTCTTTCCCCGCCAGCGTTTTAAAAAAAAGTTGCCAGCCACCGCCAGGGTTTTTGACGATTTTCGCTAAATTTTAATGCCCCGCTGAATATTTTCTTCCATGAATATATTAAGATGATATATATAAAAATAAAGATCTGAGCCTCTGCTTTTAGGCAAAAAAAACGTTTTTATTTTATCTTCATTTGTTCTTTTTTTATTGCCTCTTGAACAGAGGTAGGTTTTGTCAAAAACACAACATTTTGGACAAAAAGGTATTTTTATCAAACAAGTGCATTTAAAAGCAGAATACATTTAGATGTTGTTTCCTTCATATATAAAACTTTCCAAAATAAATTAAAAACATAAATAAATGTAAAATATATCAAATTTCCCAGGATGTAAGGGAAATGTAACTTTTGCAATAAAACTTCTGTGTTCTACCTGTGAATAATGAATAATTGGAATTACAATAAACAGGCCTAGACACACACACACACACACACACACACACACAGACACACACATATTACAATGTGGTAAATGTGCACAAAGAGAGAAATAATTTGACAATTACACCTTCATATTTAGACAGCCACACATAAATGCCTGCACACACACATACATATTATAGTGTCATAATATTATACGATCTCTGCGGCACGTCCATGGCTAGAACTTTCTGTGACAACATGTGCATCTCTCTCACTCACTACTTCGTCCCGATCAGATTCAGAATTATCAAATAAAGAGTGATCGGACTCCGAGTCCATTAACCTCCAGTACTTCAGCCATATACCTCTGCATTGTCTGTCTGATACATTCTCACTACTCCACTGTTTGAGACGATTGCGATCTGTTTCTCTGATCAAAGAGTTGCGCACTCATTCAGGACATGCGCGCGGGTCTTCCTTACCGTATACCACCTAAAACACGGATACCCGGAAAATTCCATGTTTGGCGGGGATGCGTTTTTTCATTAAACCCGGAAAATTCTGTGTTTGGCGGGGAAAGAGTTAAAAGCCAGTTGCGCTTTCCAAAGAACCTTTCAGTGATCAGATCATAAAAGAACCATTTTTTTCTTAGTGTAAAGATAATTGTAATAATCTAAAGTACCTTATTTTTGTAATGAAAGGGTTAAAGGTTCTTCATGGAACCATCAATGCCAAAGAACAACATTATTAACTGTGTTTACGACGGAAGCTGAAGCTTAAGAGATAGGGCTGAGTAATATCGATTTCTCGATATTAATCGATTCTCATTTTTACGAACCGATATCGATTCTTAAATCTCAAGAATCGATTAGTCATCCTGTTTCATTTGAATGAATGGATCATTGTATCGCGGCTGCGCGCATCCAAAAAAATCGCAATAATCTTTGTCCTTTGTTACTATTGATATGAAACAAAGTCTCAATTTTCAAATTACGTCCATTTTCTTTAGAAATTCAAAAACATAAATAGCGTTTTGGCGCTGTGGCGTGAGATCGCTCTGGAGAAGCAGCAGCGCTGATCTCACTTCCGGGTTAATAATACCAGTCACATCGCCAAATAAACATGAATGAGCATCTGAAAGTGTGTTAAAGATAGAGGACAACTTATTGAAATCCGTATCATGTCACATTGATTCGCTCAATCAGCGTTTCAACCGTGGAAAGACGTCAGTTAAACAGCTTGTAATCAATGTATCGTCATATTTACCTCAGAAAACCCACATAAACTCGTTAGTCAGCTAGAAAAAATAACTCTAGAGAGGATCATTTCGCTAAAATATATACACCATATTACATATGCATTATAATCTTAATGTTCTTCAATATTTAATGCATATTTGAATAAATCTGGCAAGTTTTTATGACAGCCACCATTTAAATGTTTATATTTCATATAATCTTCTTATTATAAAAATAAATAAAAGTGTAATTTAAGTGTTTGTATAGCTACAAAACAGTTCATTATTACCTTCATATTAGGCTAATGAAGCCTATAGGCTACAACTAGACTCCCATAGTTTACTTCCTTGAGAAAATTTGCCATTTATTGCAACTGATATCCAAAAATAATCAATATTGAATCGAATCGAATTGCAAGCTTGTGAAATTTGTGTCAATACCCAGCCCTAATAAGAGATGTTACGTATTGTTGCAAAATGGTCGTTCAGCCACGTTGTTTAATGACGTCACGCAGGTGGTGGAGTAATAACTACTTTTAATGAATCTGTTTGAGATCGAATTAATGCTAGATGCTTTGCTATAAATGACGGACATGGCATCTGAGAAATATTTCTGAAATTTTTCTCAGACCACACAACCACGTTTTCGGGAAACACCGGCTCGTTGAACTAGGTTGACAACGACGCAAATTGCGACCATAGTTGGTTAACAAAGCTTTCAGGACACGCTCCCCTGGACGAATCCAAATAGTTCTCAGAGTCAAATAAGAGAGTATAAGGAGATATCATACAACGCAGGTCAGTAAATCTGTTCGGGCAGAGGACAGATCATAGATGTGTTACAAGTCAAGTCTCAAGTCTCATTTATTTATATAGCAATTTCAACTATCTCCAGACAAGAAAAACATACAAAAAAGTAAAAAGAAAAACACAATATATAATAACAAAGTCAAGAAATGAAAACAGACAGAATACAAATGAGTTACCTGTGCTCTGTGCCCATGGCAGAGGTTCCTGATGGTGCCACGTCAGAATACAGCGGTGATACTCAGGACGTGGATCCAGCTTCACATCACATGACAACTGCAAACAAATCAAGCACATTTGAGGTTTTTTTAAATGTATTTATTCGTATTAGGGCTGTCAATAGATTATTGAAAGTTTAGGGTCTTTAACGTTTTTAAAAGAACTTAATACTTAATTTCAGTAAGAATGCATTAAATCAATAAGACATTTATAATATTATAAAAGCTCTTTTGAGCTTTCTATTGATCCAATTTTGTTTTTCAGTTTCCACAGAATTATGAAGCAGCACAACTGTTTATCATTGGGTAATAATCAGAAATGTTTCTTGAGCAGCAAACCATCATATTAGAATGATTTCTGAAGGATCATGTGACACTGAAGACTGATTCTAATTCAGTAATATATAACAGCTAGACAACAACAGCAGCATAAATTAAAGCTACACTGTGTGATTTTTACCCCCATCTAGTGGTGTAAAGATATATGACCATCCACTCCAGTGAATATTAGTTTCTTTTTTTTTTATTCAACTTTTACAAAAGCTTATGACATTTTACAACAAAAGACAAACACATAATGGGGAAAACACATAACAGATCTTACATTGTACAGAGTAAAACATTAAATTCTACAAACTATTTTTTCCAAAATTTGAGATGTTTTTATGCACTTCTTATTTCTAGTAGTTGAAATCAATGAGTCATGGAATATTTTAACATCTTTACAAAAGAAATTAAAAGATGGTTTTATAGACATTACTTTGGCTTTATGAATATGAAATTTCCCAAGAAGAATTATTAACTTTAAAGTGTTATCAATTATGTCTGAGCCAGTATTACAATCTAAAAAGACAATCATTGCCCCATCTATTCTGACTATTTTGTAGAATGTATCAAAAAACATCATAGAAACTTGCTTCCAGAAGTCTTCAGAATATTTACAATTACAAAATAAATGTAATAGAGTTTCAGAGCCAATATTACAAAAACAACATAATGGAGAGAAGTCTTTTTTAAACTTGTGAATATTAGTTTCAGTTCCTCTCAATCCACATTTCGTTTTAACTCCTACGGTGGCCAATGTAGTCCAAGATTAATATGGCTTCCAGTTCGACCTCGTCCATGAGTGTTAACTCAAACGTAAACGCGAAAGGCGAAGCTTGAATTAACGGGTATGTCCCTCTTTGGCTAATGTACTTTCAAGATGGAGGGGCAACATGGCGAACCCCTTACCCGTATGGATTTTCAATGGCATATTATACACTCACGAGAATACTTTATTATTTGAACGAAGTAAATATACATTAATGAGCACATATATTAAGTGTTTTTAGCTAAGAATAAACTAAGAGAGTTACACAGTGTAGCTTTAAGCCAGACATTTTTTTGAATAATAGTTACCACATATTTGTTTTTAAGCTGCAATGCATGCTGGGAACTGGCACAACATTGTTTAACGTTCACCGTGTTTGTTTAGATAACTCAATTTGGAAAGTTGGGACAACTATGGTGAAGTTTTGGACAAACGCTTTTTTGTATGCATTTTACAGTCTGTTATTATCACTTGTAAAGTCAAAGGTGGTCTTACCCGGGCTTTTATTATGGTGGGCCGCGGGTCTAAGATTCCCTGCATCTTCCTCAAGGCAGGAATGACGAAGAGGTTACATGTTACGACCGCTGACACGGGATTACCTGAGAAGCACGAGAGACGGCACTCATTAAATAAAAAAAAAATAAAAAATAGTGAAATCTGTAAATAAATTAAATTACATGACTAGTATGTGTTTTGAAAAATACACCAATAAACTCTCTCACCGTCCCTACCTGGCAGAGCAAAGATAAGTTTTCGAGACCCGTCCATATCAAGAGTGGCAAATGTTGTGGGGAGACTAACGGAAGACAAACCAGAGCTCAAAACCCGCGTGGACTGATTCTCATAGTCACTCAATATCAGGGTGTTTTCACACGGGGTTTATTTACAAGTTTATACTGAACCAAGACACGGTCTAATACGGTTCGCTTTAAGTCTGTGGTGAAATGGGGTCACCTATACGTGTGCATTGTGAATACAAAATTTACATTATTTTCACTTAAATTAAACAAACATACAAGCATTTTTGCTCATTGCAGGTAACCATAATGGCACACCTATTTTTGGTATCATAAACTGCATATACAGGCCTTTCTGAGCGTTATGCAAAAACGCACGATCCATATTTTGTATTTACAAAATATATTACTTAAAAAAAATACATTTCTATCAATTATTATTTCTATTATTTACTAAAATTAAAAAAAAACTAAAATTTACTAAAATTAAAATTATTTATTCTATTTCTATACTAAAAAAACATTAAAATTAAAAATAAAACAAAACTGGCTAATCTTTGTATTTTCTAATATATTTTGATCCAGTAATACAATTATTTTTTGATTAATTTCTATTAATTCTATTCTTTTCTAAACAAATATAATACAATTAGGGCTCTCAAATGATTAATCGCAATTAACGCCATCCAAAATAAAAGTTTGTGTTTACATAATATACTATATGTGGGTGCACTGTGTATAATTATTTTGTATATATAAATAGACACACATGCTTGTAGGTATTTAAGAAATATTTTCATGTATATAGATTTATATGATATGTAAATATAAATATTTTATATATAAATAATATTTTTTTCTTAAATATAGATGCATGTGTGTGTATTTATATATATATATATATACAAAATAATTATACACAGTGCACCCACATATATTATGTAAACACAAACTTTTATTTTGGATGCGATTAATCGCGACTAATCGTTTGACAGCCCTAAATATAAAATAAAATAACAATATAATAAAATAAAAGTAATAAAAATAAAAATATTTTATATATAAATAATCTTTTTTTCTTAAATATACATGCATGTGTGTGTATTTATATATATATATATATATATACAAAATAATTATACACAGTGCACCCACAAATATTATGTAAACACAAACTTTTATTTTGGATGCGATTAATCGCGATTAATTGTTTGACAGCCCTAAATATAAAATAAAATAACAATATAATAAAAGTAATAAAAATATAAATATTTTATATATAAATAATCTTTTTTTCTTAAATATTCATGCATGTGTGTGTATTTATATATATATACAAAATAATTATACACAGTGCACCCACATATATTATGTAAACACAAACTTTTATTTTGGATGCGATTAATCGCGATTAATCGTTTGACAGCCCTAATATAAAATAAAAATATAATAAAATAAAAGTCTACCTGATTCAACTTCCATCCAGTTAAAGTGTTTGTTTCATCAAACGAGGATTTAAGTGTGAAAACACCCTGAATCTGCATCACTTGTACAATCTCTACGCAGAAGTCACACGCTTCTTCAAAGACTCACCCTGGTTTCATGAAGACACGTCCAAAGTGTATCTGAGCATGAAGATCGATGTCAAGTACCTGTTTCAGGTAATCCTGCGAAAACATCCATTTCAAATGATCTTAATGATGCAGTGCACTTGAACTGTGTGACAAATTCAGTTTTCTGATTGTAGAAAAACACAGTATTCTCTCATCTAATGTGAGTGTACATCATTTTAAACAGATCTGTAATTATGTAAAGTACAAGGCACCTCACTTCTTTAGGTGTAAAACTCTTTGATGTGAAAATCTCAGTGAGATACATCTCATCTGAAGGCGTCAGCGGGTCTTACTACCATCCAGCCACTAGATGTCAGTATAAAGCAGTGATTACTAAATCAAACTCAAAGTCTGCACATCATCGTGGGACGACGTGTTATGCATCTTCCTAAAATTGCAGTTTTTCCTTTAACAAGGACATTCCTGCATTTGGAACATCATCAAACCAAATATTACACAAACACCATTCAGCTGTTGATTTTGTCTTTACAAAGCAACCAACAAAATAGAAAGCATGTGAACGTCTTGTACCTTCTCCCCCATAGACACGCCCCCTGAGGTGATGATGACGTCGGCACGACTGATTCCCTCATTCAGAGCATTCAACAGGTCATCAGGGCTGTGGGACACCAAGGTAACAGTTACCATTGCAAATGACACGTCAAATACCAAAACAAAAAATACGTATATAGGCAGTACTTTAAGAAAAACGGAGAGTTTTTTAGTGATTGTTGCGCGCAAAAAATCCTTGATTATGCCGACTGTTGCAGGCATAAAAAATGCGATGCAATATGCGGGATATTTATGCAATTTTATCCAATGAAATTGCGGGAACTTGATGAGGTAATTTCCACTGAAACAGGAAGACAGGGCGGGACATATCGAGCAGCTCCTCCCCTTTTTTTAAATAGCCAATAGCGTTTCGTTTATATCACATCTCATCCAGAGCTGTTGAACTCAGTAAAGCCGCAGTTTCCTCCTAATCTCAAACCGTTTCTCCTCCATATCACTTAAAATACAGCAATCTGTGCACAATTCAAACGTGATCACATGATCTGTGTGTCGTGTCTCTGAACCGGAGCTGTGGTGGTTCGAGTGACACTAAGTCACTCGATAGTCACTATAAGTCACTCAGATAGACACTATATAGTGCACTACGTGCCGTTCACCGTGTAGAAAACAGTAAATGTGTGAACAAATGACTGATTTCAGCTGCAGATTCAGCATCTATTTATGATGTAGGGGGCGGAGCTTCAGATTCTAGAAAGTATATGATTGGATGAAAAGCTGAAGTGTGGACTGATGTCATCAAAATCATTGATCTATTCTTGTGGAAGTGACAGACTGTACATTTTTAATGCTTATATCTTCTAAATGTGAATTTTGTCACTGTTTTGGATAAAAGATAAAAAACTAAAACTTTGATTTCATGGGGACTTTAAAGTTTATGTGGAAGATGTTTTCATTTTTCTTATTGGACGGTAATTTTGATTTAATTATTATAATAATTTAATTAATTTTGATTGAATAATTTTGATTTAATTATTATAGTAATTATTATATTATAAAATTAATTAATTAATATAATACATTTTTATAAAATTATTATATTAATTAATTATTATATTAATGAAATAATTTTGATGTAATTATTATATTAATTATTAAAGTCATGGTTGAAAAAAAAAAAGCTGTTTAAACAATTTAAAGCTGACATCAAAATGTATTTGGAAAATTAATTTTTCTATCCACCCCTGACACGTCTGGTTATATGTACTCAAATTTTTTATTAATCAAGAATTGTTTGGTGAAATCAATTCAGTTTCTATGTAGTGTGTATGATGGGGTGAAAGACGCTCACTTGTCTCCCACGATGCCCAGGTTGATGGTGGGGTATCCGTGCTCCTGAATGGTGGCCAGCAGCGTGGAGCGATTAGAGTCTCGGATCTTACCGGGGTGTAAATCGTCCTCCGGGTTCAGCAGCTGAAAAGACAGTTCACTGCTTAGTGAGTAAGCAACAAAGGCATGATGCGTCCACACCAGCAGACGATGTCATGTATTATAAGTGTGCGCTGCAGTTTGGTCATCTGCCACTTTAAACTCTTTAAAGCAGGATGGCTTCTGATTGGCTGTGTCCGATATCGCTTCCTATACCCTTTAATGGAAACAACCATTTGTATTGATGTCTGTAACAATAGTGGACATTATCAAGTGCCCTCATTCAATCCCACAATGCAAACTACCCAAAAGCGGCAGTCCTTCCTTCGCACTCAGTGTCCGAATTCACTCACTCGTTTTCATTTGCTCTTTCTAGTGGTCTAATGTAGGGGAGAATATTGAATGAGGGCATAGAGTAAATCAGACCCAACTATTGTTTTTATCGTTCATCAGCTGGAAAAAAATGTGGAAAAATTGATTCCAAAGAAAACAAGTTGGCTTTATTACGTCCTACTGTTTTGATCCTTGGTTTTCAACCGCTTAGGTTTATTTTTAATTAATTAAATGCATTTTAATACTTCTGACTATATATTATCAAAAGGATAATGATGGTTAATTGGCTGTTTGATCTCATTGCTGACTAGAAGAAACAGTGGAGATGTAAAGATCAGTGTGTGTGTGTCCTGTCACCTCGTTCCCAGTAGACATCACAGCCACGACGGGAAACTTCTGCACTTCCACCTCCGTGACGCCCACCGTGGCCAGCAGCCCGATCTCAGACGGGCCCATGTGAGTGCCTTTGGACAGCACGCACTCGCCACGCTTGATGTCATGACCGATGGGCCTGCAGAAGACGACACACTCACTCAGACACACGTGAGACGCACACACACACAGTCACGCTGAGAAACGCTCACCTGATGTCTTGACCTGGACGAGCTTGAACCAGAATGCGCACCTC